AAGCTTCGCCTTTGCTCTTAGGGAAGCCCACCTTGAATGACGAGCGCCAGGTGGGCCAGGCGTTCGGACGATGCCCCGTTTTGGTAAAGGGCCCACCGTCGACAATTGTTTTGCACTGGAGGAGACAGCTACAGTGGGGGCGCGCATCAAGAAACCAAATGCTTTTCGTCAGGGTATCCTGGGTTTCTTCGCTCCTCACGCTGCGCGGTGACCTCCCGCGGCCGTTGAAGGAACTGCTGCATTCAGGGTGCTCCAGGTTTCCCCTCAGGTGCACCTTCGCGCACAGGTTCTCAGGGTTGGGTTTCGTGCGAGGGTTTCTTGCGGCCGCGCCCGCATTGTATGTTGTTCTAGGCGTGTTGTGTGAGCTTGACTTGAGTAGCCTGTGCGGTGTGAGGTTCGGTTGTTTAATCCGTGCGGTGTGAGTTGTTCAGTGTGAGCTGGAGGCGTGTAGGTTATGTGTTTTGAGCTGGAGACGACGGCTACGCGCAATAAGCTATGCGGCGGGACACCTGTGCGGTGTAAGCTAAGCTATGCCGAGTAAGCTACGCAGTGGAAATCATAAAGGGGTGAGCTGGAGTGGGGTTAGCTATGTGGTGTACTATTCAGCTATGCGCTCACGAGCGCATAGCTGGACGTGGCGAAATATTGGCCAACCCGTCCATTTACTGTGAAATACGAAGCCCATGGGCAAGCACTGTTTTGGCGAATTCTCGAAAAGCAGCGCGATCAGGTAGCCGATCAAGTTCAATGAAGTGTAAGACGATAGTTGCCCTCTGAAATGGATGTGTCCTCCATCCGCGAAGGTGTTGCACAATTTCGGAGTCCGAGTCGGACAGTGTTTCGAAGCCTTGAGCGGGAGACCCATTTTGAAAAGGATTCATCCTCCATCCGTGTCACTGCTGCGCTATCTCGAACTTGCGGTCCAAGAGCCCGAGGCAGTTTCAACTGAGAGCCACATCTTGAAAAGCCGAACTGGCCTGCGTCTTGGGAGCTGTTGGACACTCTTTAAAACACAGCTTTGCGCGGCGCTGAGGTGCTTGCTGCATCTTGAGCCCGCCTCCCCTTCATCCATGGAGCTGCTGTGTTCGGAGACGTGTGCGCGAGCCGCTGACGTGAGAGACACACGGCGAGCACGAGTCGGCCTCCATGGCTGTAGAGTAAGACGTTCAAACAAGGCCTTGCGCGGCGCCGAGGGGAGAGCCGCCGTTCGCATACCACCGGCCGCCCATCCTTGCAGCTGGTGGACAGTGGTAATTCACATGCGCGCGGCGTTCAGGCGAGAGCCACATGTTGAAAGCCACCCCGTCCATCCCGAAGAGGGGCGCTCTGAGCGCATCAACACGAACTCGCACAGTACCAATCAAGAGAAGCCTCCCCCACCCCATCCTATACCCCGATCCGCATCCTCATCTTCATCTTCGTGACCTGGATTCCGCGGCAGCCCAGAGCCAGAGGTGAAGACCCGCCTGGATCGCCTGGCGATGTCCCTCGGAGCTTTCCTGATGCAGGACCTGCGCGAGCAAGCCGAGTGAGGGCAGGCGCGGACACCGCGCGGACGCCTCCTCGCTCCGCGCTGCCTCGGAGCGCGCTCGGCGCCTCCCGAGCGCTTCGGTCAAGCTGACCGCGATGCGCTCGTGGACGGCGGGGGGCTGGGGGGAAGGGAGCTAGGACGAGGATGAGTCCGTTCCTCGTCATACACATCGATCACAAGCTTGGCGGCCAGCTGCTGAGGTGAGACGACTGACGGCCCCCTACTGAGCTCGGAGAGGGCTAGGGCGAGGATGAAGCCGTTCCAGAGCGTTCTGGGAAGCTCTCAGAGCGATCTGAAACGCTCTGAGAGGACCGCGGCGCCCGAGACATCCTCCAGAGCCGCCAGCGCTCGGCGATTGCTTTCTTTTCCTCATCCGATGTTGTCCTCGTCCTGGCTTCGTTGTGGTGGAGGAGGAGGAGGAGGAGGAGGAGGAGGAGGAGGGGGATGAGGAGGACAGGAGGAGGAGGAGGAGGAGGAGGAGGGGGAGGGGGAGGAGGAGGGGAGGGGAGGAGGAGGGAGGAGGAGGAGGAGGAGGAGGAGGAGAGGAGGAGGAGGAGGAGGATGAGGAGGAGGGGGGAGGAGGAGGAGGAGGAGGAGGAGGAGGAGGGGAGGAGGAGGAGGTGGAGGAGGGGGAGGAGGAGGAAGGAGGAGGAGGAGGAGGAGGAGGAGGAGAAGGAGGAGGAGGAGGAGGAGAAGGGGGCCAGTCGAGACAACGGCAGCCCTCCTTCTCGATGTAGGCGTCCGGTCTGGGCCTCCCGGAGGCCCCGCGTCGCCTTGGCGGCATCCGCTTCGAGGAGCTGGTCCGGGTGGACCCCAGGAGGGGTCCAGTGACAGACCCAGACCCCCTCGAGTTATGAAAAAATCACGACGGGAGGTTTTTTCATGATTTTTGGCCTTTGGGGGCCCTTACCGGCCCTCGGGACCGTCGAAAAACGACTCAGGACGACAAAACGGTCCCGGGGAATGGGTCGAGACCTCGGGGGGTCGACGTCATGAAAAAACCATGACGTCGGGGGTCTGGGCCCCAGGAGGGGTTCAGTGACAGATGTTGGGCGGATTTGGGCCGGGCAGGGGGGGGGGGAGGGGGAAAGGGAGGAGGAGGAGAGGTTGTTGCCGCCTCCGACGGGCCCCTGCCCGATGGAGGGGGGTGGGGATGAGGGAGGAGGGGAGAGGAGCGGGGGGAGGGAGGGTAGGGGATGGGGGGGAGGGCGATGAGGGGGAGGAGGATGGATGAAGCAGGGTGGAGGGGGCCTCCCCGTATGGGCTCCCCCCCCACTCAGGGATGGGTGCCTCCGCCAGCGTCTGCCTGAGGCGTCGCCCCCTGCATCCGCTCTGGGGCGAAGAGAAGATAAGAGAAAAGCAGAGACGAGAACAGAGATCACCGAGTTGCTTCTCTTGCTTGGGGGGGGCCCTCGGAGTCCTCTGGAGGCCTCCAGAGGATCCCGATGGGCATAGATATTGACTTTCAGAGATCCGCTGTGACTTCTCGGCCTTAGTGGGCCCCGGAAACGGCAGGGCTGTTTTTTCACCGTTACCGAAAAAGTGCCCCTTGAAAATGGAAATGGGCAAACAAAACCGGGACAGGAAACGGCAACAAAACCGGCTCCAGGAGTGGAACCGGAGCGGGAACCCGCAAAACATCGGCGACGGAACGGGCAACAAAAACGGCGTCGGAACCAGCAACAAAACCGGAACCTCCGGTAAAAAAATTGGCCCCGTCGCTTCCAGGGCCCACGAAGTGCTCGGCTCGACGCTGGGGCCCCTGGCGTCGCCTCCGCGCGAAGGTGCCCGGATGGGCGCCCACGAAGTCCCCAGAAGTCTAGGGGAAGAAGACGCTGCGCAGAAGCGTATGTAACCTCTCGGAGCTTCGCGGTAAAAAATCGGCCCTGTCGCTTCCAGGGCCCGCGAAGTTCTCGGCTCGACGTCGATGGGCCCCCTGGCGTCGCCTCCGGCGCCGCCTCCCTGGCGCCGCCTCCGCGCGCCAGGGGCGGTGGGGCCGCCCAGCGCCGCTCCGGGCACCGCCGCGCGAAGCTCCGGGAGGTTCTGATGGCTCCGCGAAACCGGTTCCGTTTTGTTGTTTTTGTTGCCGGTTCCGACGCCGTTTTTGCTGCCAGTTCCGTCGCCGATTTTTTGCGGATTCCCGCTCCAGTTCCACTCTTGGAGCCGTTTTTGTTGCCGTTTCCGGGCGCCGTTTTTTGGGCCGTTTCCATTTTCAAGGGACATTTTTTCGGAAACGGTGAAAAAACAGCCCTGCCGTTTTTGGGGCCCACTAAGTCTTGGGAGTGGAGGGACCAGGGCTCGAGCTAGACGGTGTTTGGGCTATTTCGTGGACCAGTTGCGTTCTGATCTCGTTCTGCGGCAACGGCGGAACGAAGACAGAGCGGGGAAACGTTCCAAACAAAACAAAAAGCTACAACGGAAATCACCAGTCAGGTCGGGCCCAGAGAGGGATGCTGCGAAGCCCCTTCGAGGGAGGGCGTGTGTCCAAGCTGCGGGGCTGGCCTCAAAGGATGCCTGTCTCGTTTTTCCCCCGCGGGGGCACAGGTGCGGGCGCGCCCGTACTCTGGAGGCCAACGCCTCCGCACAGACGCGGGCGCGCGCTCATCATCTGGAGCCTCCCTGTCGTCATCAATATCTGCCGCCCGTTCGAGCCCCAACCCCAAGCCGTAGCATACGCATGCGGCCCGCGCATTTCCATGGCGTGTCCAGGCCTGTTCCTGTCAAGCCAGTCCGTTTTACGCTGCCTCGCCATCGATCCGCACCGTGTTTTGGCCATCTTTGCTCTGGTGTGCACAATGTCTGGTCTTCTCTGGTGTTTTCCGATTATTCGCCTTGCTGCATCTTGTTGTCTTCTCGTCCTGCCAACGCATCACAATTGAGCTCATACCGCCTTTGGCTGCGCCTGGCTAATCATTTGTTGACTTGCCTTGCAGTGTCTGGCCGGATTTGCCGTTCCTTGTTATTATGTGTCATGCGTCGTGTTGTCGTGGTTTGCCGTAAATCGCATTCGCCTTGCTATGCTGAAATTTGCCCAGTTGTTCAACACTTACTTTGCAACGTCCATGCGTTCTCAGAACTTGCCTTGTTACATGTGTTGTTATATTTCCCTGACGGGTAAAAAAAAAACATTAACGTGCCGTCCCTTATCAACTAGTCGTGTTGCCTTGCTTTGCACGGTAAGTCATCTCTTCGCAGTCTCGCACTTCCCGTTGCCATGCATGTTTGTTTGTTACGTTGTGTGCCCGTATTCAGCTGTTTTGTACATCGTTTTGTTATGCCATGGTTTGTATCGTATAGAAGTGTAATGTTGGCCTCGCCTTGCTTTACCATGCTGTGCGATGCCATGTCTTGTTTTGCCATGCTAGTATATGCGTTGCTTTGCATCGCTGTGCACGGCAATAGCTGTCCTTCTTCTTGATCGTCCTGCGCGTCTTCCACGACACTCCCCTACTATTGCTCCTCGCCCAAAGAGGAGAGCATGATCCGCAACCTCGAGCAGCTGAACCAGCATCGGCAAGCCTCGGCCCTCATCCGGCAAAAACGCCAGGAGGAGGGGGAACAGAGGATGAAGCAGATGAGAGAGGAGCTTAAGAACGAGCTGCAGGTAGACTTCCACGAGTTGGCGACTGGGCCCCCGAAGAATCCCAAAGGCGCGATGCACCGCTTGGCGAAGATCGAGGACAACGCCAAAGAGAACGGGGCCGTGCTGCAGGCTGGAGAAGAAGAAGCTGCATGTTACACATGAACTTTCGGAGGTCCGCGAGGAGTTCTCGGACCGGAGCTTGCCCCCCCCGGCGGCGCCTCCGGCGCCGCCTCTAGAGTGCGCCCCACGCGCCAGGGAGCGGGGCCCTGCGCCGATGCGAGACATCCGCGCAGAGTTCCGGAAGTTTGTGGTCATGCCGCTCTTTCGCTCGGCAAGGAAGAGGAGGAGGAGGAGGAGGAGGAGGACCAGGAGGAGGAGGACCAGGAGGAGGAGGACCAGAAGGCACAGACACAAATCATATTTGAAATTATTGTACAAGATGATAGATGGAGGGGGCGACGGAAATCGAGAGCAGACGCTAGCATGGATGGGATGTTGGAGGTGGCGTCTATCTGTTTATATGCCCCCTGGGCGCCTTTTTTTATCTATCTCCTGGCAGGAGCACCGCCTGTTCCTCAACTCCGTGCACGCCATGCGCGGGTCCTCGGCACCACCCGGCAGTACACATACACTATGCGAGGCGTTCTAGGCACCCCGCCTTCGAGGATCGAAGGAGCTGGCATCTCTTCGTCGGTGGAAGTCGGTGGCAGGCTGGCAGACTGCGGCGGAGGTAACACGAGGCGGCCTCCGCCGACGGAAGCCAGCGGAGGTGACAATCTGCATCCCAAGGGATGGCAAGGTTTTTGGGTTCACGGTTTTCGGAATCCGTCATGTGTGCGTTGGCCCCCGGGGGGCGACTCGCAGAAATATTGTATTGTATGTTCGTTTCGGACTTGTGCCTCCAAAGGGGCGCATAGTACTAGCACGTCCTTACCCATCGGTCGTTGAAAGCAGGTACGTTTGGATTCCCAGTTCCCAATCTACTTTGGCCGCCTTCCTACTTCAATGTTCGAGTGGCTTCCCCTCTTCCGTCCTCTTCGGGGGGCGGGCGGAGGCCCAATCTGCTTCCAAGGCCTTCCTACTTCATGCTTTTGCGTATTTCTTCCGACCGATGGGTAGGCATCCCTTGCGTCCCAGGTCCCGCCCCCCATCGGCGCCCCTGGACGAGCGCCACAGCCGGGCCGTGGAGGAGGGTGCGCGGTGGATGGGCCCGGCGATGCAGGCCGCCGCTTTCCACAAGGCGGCGGCTCCGTGCAAGAGGGACCCTTCGCCAGGGTGGCCTCCGGGGAGCGGCTTTCGGGGGGGGGGCGGGGGGACGGCGTGGCACCCTGCGGTCTGGGCGTTGCATCTTTCTCGCACCAGGCGATTTCGCCGGGTTTTTCGGGCCCGAGTAGCTTCACAGGTCACTCTGGTTTGAAATTCACTCCGAAGCACGGGGCTGCAGGGCTCTGGTCGCGACCTGTCGCGGCGTTGCAAGCGTTTCGCAACGCTGGAACGGTTCCTCTGGTCGCGCGTCCTTGCTTGGTTGCTTTTACTTCCCTTCTTCCGTCCACCCTTTCCATCCCCATTTCCCTCCCTGACAGTCTCAATTCAGGAGGGAAAAAAACACACACACACACACACACAGACACAATTAATCGTCGATTCCCCCGAAAATATTGGGAAATATGGGAAGTGGGGGGGAAGACAAAAACCCAGAAAGTATGAGAAAATATGGGGAATCTTTTTATTTGTGTGTATTTATTTGTGTGTCCTGGGGCCCCTTCATCAATGTCGCTTTCCCTCCCTCCTCTCCTTGCCCTCCCTCGCCGCCTCTTCCTGGACCCAGCCCGGCCCCCCGGCTCGTGCCCAGCCCCTCCCCTCCATCCCTCTCTCGTTGATTCCCTTGTTCCTTCCCTCCTTCGTTCCCTCGTTCCTTTCCCTCCTTCCTCGTTCCCTCGTTCCCTCGTTCCCTCGTTCCTCGTTCCCTCGTTCCCTCGTTCCCTCGTTCCTTCCCTCCTTTCGTTCCCTCGTTCCTCGTTCCTTCCCTCCTTCGTTCCCTCCTTCGTTCCCTTGTTATTCCCTTGCTCCTTCCCTCCTTCGTTCCCTCCTTCGTTCCCAGAGATCCGCTGTGTTGATTGTGTCAGCGCGCGTCCCCGGGAAGTCCGACCCTTCCCCCTGGGCCGGCTGCTCCTCTGGGGCTCGGCGAGGACCCCCGGAGGCCGAAAGCGGCGAAGAGCGTCAGATGCGTCGCGTTCCGCCCAAGCTGGAGATCTAGAGGCTGGTTCTCAGAGCCTGGCGATGACGGCGTCATCGGCACATGAGGAGGAGGAACGAGGAGGAGGAGGAGGAGGAGGAGGAGGAGGAGGAGGAGGAGGGAGGAGGAGGGAGGAGGAGGAGGAGGAGGGAGGAGGAGGGAGGAGGAGGAGATCGCTGCCGCCCCCGCCGTGCTGCGTGCCCCCCTGTCGGATCTGCTCCGCCCGCTCCCCCCTCCACCCCCGGATGGCCTGCCCGTGTCGGTTGCGCAGGTCCGACGGGGGGGGCACGCAGCACGGCGGGGGCGGCAGCGATCTCCTCCTCCTCCCTCCTCCCCTCCTCCTCCCTCCTCCTCCTCCTCTCTCCTCCTCCTCCTCCTCCTCCTACCTCCTCCTTCCTCCTCCTCCTCCTCCTCCTCCTCCTCCTCCTCCTCCTCGTTCCTCCTCCTCATGTACCCAGGAGGCTTCAGACCCTGGAGGGTTCCCTGTCTGGTGAGGGCAGCGGCGATACCCATGGCCAAGCCTCGATTGCGCGGGGGGCGCCCAAAGCGAAAAGGTCGGGTCGTCGGCCAGCACGCCCATCCCTCTTGATGGCCTGTCGCCGGGCCCAGACATCCGGCCTCTCGATTTTTGTTCGAGGCACATGTCCCCGACTCGCACCGACCTCTCCCCAGAGATCCGACGCGCCCCAAAACATGGGTCGGTCTGGACAACTTCCCTGGGACCGGTTTCTCGTTGTCGACGGTCCCGAGGCCTTGTAGGGGCGCCGAGGGGCTGAAAGCTCTGAAAAATGCCCGCCCCGATCTGTTCGAGGCGCCGATGTCTGGCTTCCGGGCCAGAGCCCGGCTCTCTTGCGGCCGTTCCGGACGATCCGGGCACCCCCGGAACGCCCGCGGCTGGAACGCAACCCTCGGGGGTGGACAGAACCCCCAACAGTGACACGTCGATTAGTGAATTGTCCGTTTTCGGTTCTCGTTTTCACTAAACCACGTTTTACTAAAGGGGGGTCTGTCCATCCCCGAAACCCGAGGCAGGAGAACTTCCAGGAGCCAACGAACATGTCTGCAGACCCTCAAGAATCTCGGTGCTGGACGTCTTCAATAATGGAGGATGACGATTAATAAATGACCGGGGGTCGTGTTCACGCGGCGGCGCCCGGGATGACGATTAGAAAAAACCGGCCGCGGGCTGGAACACTATTTCTTTAATCGTTCTCCTCCAGTCAGAAAACTGTGCAGCAATAGCAGAAGACTATGCTTTGAATCGCGCTCTCTCCAATTTTTTAAACTAATCGTCATCCCGCAGTACCTCGGGAGCTCCTCCCTGGGCAGGGCTCGGCAGGCCGCGCACCCGAGGCCGCCGCCGGCCTCTGCCCGGGGCCATGCCCCCCCCGCGCGCTCCGCCGCCAGGCTCGCGCCGCCGGCGACAGGGAGCCGCGGCCGTCGTCCGCGCCGGCCGGCGCCGCCACGAGGCGGGTTTGGCCACGACGGGAGGCTGCCTTGTCTCGGGCCAGACGAAAGGGGGGGATTGGGAAAGGGGGGTTACGAAATTTGCTGCATGCAGCTGGTTTCGGCCTCACCGAGGGGCCCATTCCTCGATACATGGGCGCCTCCCAGCGCCGGGAGGCGCCGGGAAAGTCAGCTACGTGAGCTGAGTCTCAACCCCCCCCTTTACTATCCCCCCCTTTCACCCGACCCGATTGTCGGGCCTCTAGAGACGGGGTTCAGTCAGATCGCCGGCTCCTGCAGGATCCTGCAGGGCCAGGCTGCACCGATCGGGCGAAGCCAGGTCCCCAGGTGGTTGAGGGGACTCGGCCAGTAGCAGGGCCCTGAGCAGAGCGGATCCCGCACGGCCACAGGGCCGGTCCTGCACAGGACACTGAAAAAATAGCATGCACAGGTATTCTGCAACACACAGAGACACAACACACGCACCACACCCCAACACTGAACAGCACATCAACAACAACAACAACAACAACAACAACAACAACAACCACAACCACAACAACACAACACAACACAACACACAATACAACACAACACAACACAGTAAGCCACAACACCGCAACACACACGCGCGCGCGAATGCCGTCACTCAGATGCCATCCGTCCACCGGCACGCCAGGCGACCCGACCTCTTGTAGGCCACTTGACCAGGCACTGTTGGCCGAATCGAATAATAATACACGCGACAGACGATGCCTGCCGGCTGCTTTACGACCTTCTCGATCTTTCTTCGCCTTTGCTGGCCTCGCGCCTGGCTCCTGACCGCCACGCGAGTGCTGTCCCACGCAGAATTTCAATATTTCTTTCATGTGATGCCCTGTGGTATGCCAGTCCTCCTCATCGTGTCTCACCCAGCCCACAATACGCCTCATCATTTTCCGCTGTACTCCATCGAGTCTCTCCATTTGCGCTACTGTGAGCGGGTGCGTTGAAAGACTGTACAAGACTGTTTGGGCTGACGATGGTGTCGAACAATCGTAGGCGCAATGTGACCATAATCTTGTGGTTGAGCAAAGTGTGGTGCAGTTCATGGCAACGTATCCACGCACAAGACAGACAAGCAGCGCGGTCATCTTCTCGACCTTGCACAAGGACTCTGCAAAGAGTATGGCATCATCCGCGAAACGGACGCTCGTCAGCCTGTCAGAGGCGTCGCCAGAAAGCTGGAAACCATGCTCAGCACTCAAGCCCACCTTCCACCTGCGCATGACGACTTCGGTTGTTGCGTTGAACAGCAGGGGGCTTAATCTGTCCCCTTGTCTCACTCCGCGGCAGATTGGAAACGAAATGCCGTCGACAATGCCCACCTGATCAGAATGTCTGCATTTCAACAGGGCCATATACTTGTCTGGCAACCCAAGCTCTGTCAGCGAGTCCAGTAGGGATCTGTGCTCGAGTTTGTCGAAGACCCTGCGAAGGTCCACGCGCAACGCCCATTGCGGAAGATTCCACTCCAAGGATACCCCCCGATCATGCACTCGAGGGTCACCAGCGCGTCGTCGACTCCGCAAGCTGTCCTGAAACCCATATTTTCATCTGAAATTAGCTGGCCCAGGTAAGGAAGAAGCCTCGTGTGAATCATCTGGGCGAGAACTTCATCAACGACATCCAGGATGGCTACCGGCCGCCAATTGTGCGCTTCCCTCAAGTCTCCGGTATTCGGCAAAGTCACGAGGATAAGCACCACCGCCGTGTAGCACATCGTTATACTTCCGAAGCAATACGTGCTTGATGGTGTCGCCACCTTGCGCCAGCATCTCCAGACACACCCCGTGCTTGTCCGCGCACTTGCCCTATGAGAGAGATTTCAGTGCGTCGACTAACTCGTCCATCGTAAACTGATCAATGTCTCTCAATCGCATCGCGCCCCCCCTGTCTGCTGGCGTCTGGTCTGAAGCATACAACTCCCCAAGCATCCTTGCAAAGTCTTCTGGCTTCGGCTTGACAGACATCTTGCGTCCCCTGGGTTCTGCAGCCATGTTTCGAAGCCGGTGGAGGTCCCGAAATTTCGCGAGTTGCTCTTCCAGCCGTTGTGTCTGCCAACGACGCAAAGCTTTCCTCGTCTTCTTGGCTATTTCCTTCGACAAGGAAGAGCGCCCCTCTCAATATGTGCAATCTCCCCGTCGTTTCCTCAAGTCTTTGAGCTCTGCTGTATCCCACTGTCGGTCTTGCAGCTGAGCCCAGTCGCACCGGAGACGTGCGCGGCTGCTTTCACGGTGTCTTGTAGTTCGTGCCAGGAAAAATCCCCGACGTCGTCCAAGAGAGCTTCCAATTCCTTCTCGTAGGTCGGAAAGCCCACCCATTTCACTGACGATTTCTTTTCCATCAAATTCAACAGTTTTGTCGGGGAATTGGTTCTTGAACTCTTGCAGAAAGCTTTAAAACTGTAGATGAGTTCTGTGCAGGACCTGTGGTGCAATGTGTAGCCGTGCGGGGTGTTCCCTAATGCCCACGCTTTTCTTTGCCCTTTCCCTTGCCGATACCACGATTGAACTTTTCCGTGAGCTCTTTCACCAAGTCCGTCCATTCTGCCTCCTGAAAGTGTTCCTCCCAGCCCGGCTCGAAACAGATGCGGATGTCGTCGTTCTCGGTGATCACCCTCATCACGAGGCCGCCGGCTGGCGTCAAGGTGTTCGTCTCAGGATCCGCCCAAAGAGAATGCTTTTTTAACCATTTTGCAAGCTAGCGCTTCGCAGCCAAGATCATCGAGTTAGGGATGCGTACCTTCAGCGGCAAGTCCGGCTTAGCCCATATCGTCTCCCCTTGCCACTCGAATTTTGCACCTCGCAGTATGGACACCATCATATCACGCTCAGCTTGGGATGCAAACCGTGCGAATCATATGCCTGTGAAGTCCGCCCTTGACGAATGTCTCCAGCGGCGCTGGCGCCTCGATGTGCTTGAGCTGCCGTGCCACCCAATATTCTGCGTCATCTCTCGAGACTGCCCATTTCAATCCCTCAATGACCGCCACTGTGTCATTTCCGTTTGATTGTGACCCAAGGTTCGCGAACTTCTCTTCGAGTTCGGCCATCTTCTTTATCTCCGTCTCGTATGAAGCACTCTTCTGCGATGGGGTTCATGAACCATCCCTTTGCTCCAAAGCAACGTCCTTGGCAAACAGGTTCTGAACCGCCTCCCTCACCGGGTTCACCGCGTTCTCGAGGTTCTGCCTGGAGATGCCATGCGCCTTGATAGCCTCGATGTCCGCCTGAATTGGGCGAAGGTGTTGTTCAAACAGCTGCGTCATCGGCTCCATCGTGATGCCTTCCTGCCTCCCCATCTCGCCCTCGCCTCCTACTCGCCCCGCGAGCGCAGCGCCCATCCCCGCTCCCTCCACGTCATCGTCCATCTCGTGCAATGGGCTGGTGAGACGAGCACTCTTATCAGGACGCCAGTCGGGTGTGCTCAAAACAAACCTCTCTCCCCTCACAGGCTCTGAACCAGATGAGCCTGAAGAACTCCACGGGCCAGTTCCTTCCACGAGCTTTTCCACTGGAGTTCCCATCACAAGCGTATTCGCAATCCTGAGCAGAAAGAACGAAGTATGTGCGCACTGGCTCCCCAACAGTAGGCGGAGGATGTGCCGAGAATGTGCGGAGCATGTGCGGAGTAGGGTTTTGGAGCCCCTCAATTGGCCAGAGTTACTCAACCAAGTCTGCCGTAGCTGGTGGTTTTCCCAAGCCTCCTGCGTTGGGTTCTCGTTTCGAAAAGAGCACTGCGGTCTGTAACCCTCTACTCCTCCTTCTCCCCGCCTCCCCTCGCCTCTCCTCTCCTGTGCGCCTGGTGCCTTGCCTGTGGGGCCTGCGAAGCGTGAAGCTGCGATCTGCGAAACTGTCGCCATTTTCGAGGCCTGCTGGGGGGCTCAGCACAGTGAGGGCGACGCGCAGATTCAAATTAGACCTCGCCATCCCTGGGGGGCTGCGATCTGTGAAACGGTCGCCATTTTCGAGGCCTGCTGGGGGGCCCAGCACCGTGAGGGCGACGCGTAGATTCAAAGTAGACCTCGCCATCCCTGGGGGGGGCTGCGATCTGTGAAACTGTCGCCATTTTCGAGGCCTGCTGGGGGGCTCAGCACAGTGAGGGCGACGCGCAGATTCAAATTAGACCTCGCCATCCCTGGGGGCGCGATCTGTGATTCGCAAATTAGACCTCGCCATCCCTGGGGGGCTGCGATCTGTGAGGGCGACGCGAAATTCAAATTGACCTCGCCATCCCTGGGGGGGGCTTGCGATCTGTGAAACTGCCGCCATTTTCGAGGCCTGCTGGGGGGCCCAGCACAGTGACGCCACGCGCAGATTCAAATTAGACCTCGCCATCCCTGGGGGGCTGCGATCTGTGAAACTGTCGCCACTTTCGAGGCCTGCTGGGGGGCCCAGCACAGTGGGACCCACGGCGGATTCAAATTAGACCTCGCCATCCCTGGGGGGCTGCGATCTGTGAAACTGTCGCCACTTTCGAGGCCTGCTGGGGGGCCCAGCACAGTGAGGGCCACGGCGGATTCAAATTAGACCTCGCCATCCCTGGGGGGCTGCGATCTGTGAAACTGTCGCCATTTTCGAGGCCTGCTGGGGGGCCCAGCACAGTGACGCCACGCGCGGATTCAAATTAGACCTCGCCATCCCTGGGGGGGCTGCGATCTGTGAAACTGTCGCCACTTTCGAGGCCTGCTGGGGGGCCCAGCACAGTGACGCCACGGGCGGATTCAAATTAGACCTCGCCATCCCTGGGGGGCTGCGATCTGTGAAACTGTCGCCACTTTCGAGGCCTGCTGGGGGGCCCAGCACAGTGACGCCACGCGCGGACCCAAATTAGACCTCGCCATCCCTGCGGGGCTGCGATCTGTAAAACTGTCGCCACTTTCGAGGCCTGCTGTGATCCCCGTTTTCGAAGTGGCTAGGAGTGCTCAGGAATTGTAACTCATCAGCTTTATCAAGCCCTTTTCCTGTAGCCAGTGTCCTGC